CTGCAGCCAATCACCTTCTCAGCAGAGCGCACAACACGCTGCAGTCTCTGTTTGTCCCTGATAGTGGCTCCAGCGTACCACACGGTGATGGAGGAGGTGAGGATGGACTCGATGATTGCAGTGTAGAACTGCATCATCGTCCGTGTTGGCAGGTTGAATTTCTTCAGCTGCCTCAGGAAGTACATCCTCTGCTGGGCTTTCTTGATGACGGAGGTGATGGTGGGCTCCCACTTCAGGTCCTGGGTGATGGTGGTACCCAGGAAGCGGAATGAGTCCACAGAGGTGATGGGGGTGTCAGTCAGGATGATGGGGGGGGAGTGGGGCTGTGTGCTTCCTGAAGTCCACAATAATCTCCACTGTCTTCTGGGCATTCAGCACCAGGTTGTTGTGGCTGCACCAGGACACCAGACGTTCAACCTCTCTCCTGTAGGCAGACTCGTCCCCGTCCGAGATGAGTCCAATAACGGTGGTGTCATCTGCAAACTTGATTAGCTTGACAGACTGGTGGGTGGAGGTGCAGCAGTTGGTGTACAGGGAGAAGAGCAGAGGAGAAAGAACACAGCCCTGAGGGGAGCCGGTGCTGATGGTCCGGGAGTCCGAGACATTCTTTCCCAGCCTCACATGCTGCTTCCTGTCCATCAGGAAGTCAGTGATCCACCGGCAGATGGGATCAGGCACATTCATCTGGGAAAGCTTGTCTCGGAGATGGTCTGGAAGGATGGTGTTGAAGGCAGAGCTGAAGTCCACAAACAGGATCCTGGCGTAGGTTCCTGGGGAGTCCAGATGCTGCAGGATGAAGTGTAGGGCCACGTTGATGGCGTCGTCTACAGACCTGTTGGCTCTATATGCAAACTGCAGGGGGTCCAGGAGGGGGGCCGTGAGGGTCCTGAGATGGGAGAGAACTAGGCGCTCAAAAGACTTCATGACCACAGATGTCAGAGCCACGGGTCTGTAGTCATTTAGTCCAGTGATCCTAGGTTTCTTGGGGACAGGGATTATGGTGGAGGACTTGAAGCAGGCAGGCACATGACATGCCTGCAGTGAGGAGTTGAAAATGCCAGAAAACACTGGGGCCAGCTCGTTTGCACAGTGTCTGAGGGTGGCAGGAGACACACCGTCTGGGCCGGGAGCTTTCCGAGCATTCAGGTTCTTAAACTGCTTCCTCACATCTGCTTCATGAATATGAAGAGTTGTGGTGGGAGGAGGTGGTGTGAAATCCTCTTTTGTGTGGGGTGAGGAGGGGGGTGTTGTAGGTGAACGGTTTGAAGGTGGTGATGGCTCTATGTAGGGGGGAGAGGTGGGGGAATTAGTGTCCAAAGTGTCTCTATTGTTGGGGCCGTTGGAGGTGTGAAGGCTGCCTGATGGCTCATCAAAACGGCAGTAGAAGTCGTTAAGGGTGTCGGCTAAGAGCAAGTCATCAGTGGAGTGGGGGGTTTTAGGCTTGTAGTTTGTGATATTCCTAAAACCTTTCCACACAGAGGCCGAGTCATTCTCTGAGATCTGCTGCTGCATCTTCTCAGAGTGCTGATGTTTAGCAATGTCCACTTCTTTAGTGAACCTGTACTTGGCCTCTCTTTGCTGTCACACCGAGACAAATCCTGCTAGTGGAGCTGATCACAGCCACAGAAACAGCAATTCGTAACAACAATATTGCAAAGTGGAAGCAGAGCAACTACAGACGAAAGTTTCGGCCTGTCTCAGCAATGCAAAGCCCCCAGCATCCAACATCACCATGGAGAAGAGGAAGGCACTCACATCACTTCGTGATGACAACAACATTATCATCCTTCCGGCAGACAAGGGTAGGTGCACAGTATTGCTTAACCAAAAAGACTATCATGAGAAAATTTTGTCACTACTCAGTGATGAAAATACTTATGAGCCCCTGAAACGAGACCCAGGAAGTGGCTACAGGAAGAGGGTGATAGACTGTCTGAAGATTTTATTAACAATGATGGTTATGAAAACTATTTACCCCCATTGGGCATCAGTTAAAATGTACAACATTGGCTAGTACATCTGGTACAGACTAATGAAAATATCAAAGATTAGTCACATACATCCCTGGCAGACGTATTTTCTTTTTAAAAAAAAAAGAAAAGATGAGGCTTAGTTAAACTTTTATTTTTTTTGTTCTACATCAGCTACAGTTTAAACACTGCATGGCTAATGCATCGTAAGTGTACATACACAACTGAAGTACCATTTTTGTTCAGTGAACTCAACATGTCAGCATGTTCGGATAAAAGACGAGATCTTAGTTTATTACTATTAAGTCCACCATCATAGTCGGGGATAAACTTTTATTTTGGTGATGGTGGGGAGGTTAACAATCACATGTCTACAAGTGTCTAGTACATACACACATCAGCTGAAGACAGTGAAATCAATCCACAGAATGTGAGGCTAAATTGAAGAAGCAGATGATTATTTTTTTTATTATTATTTTTGCTAAATTGCAAAAACAAAAAAACTATATGCATATTACCACTACTCAATTTGAGCACTCAAAGCGCGTTCAATTACATGCGCCATTCACATATTTCACATTCATAAAAGCGCTTCCTAACATTTACACACGCACTCACACTTCAGTGGATGCCTCGGGGAAAATGACTAACGTTCCAGTTAGTAGACGACCTGCTGTACTACAGCCACCCACAGTTATCACTGCCAACGTCAGGCTTCTCTTCAGTGCAGAATGCAGGTGAAATTATTACGTTGGTGTTCTGGGCCAAGACATTCTGACGTTAGTGATAAATTTAAGTCCATAATGCTGCTTACGATCTTCCATGGGACAAACATTCACATTATTAAAAACTCAAGAAGCCCATTTTCTGACACTTTTATCGAGTCAAACTAAGATTACTAACACCAAGAGACCAACTGGAAATTTCCTCGAATTATCTCTGGACTTCAGGACATGTGTTGTCTTTGATCATTAGTACTCATTAGGCATAATACAATTAGTCTTTGTAAACAATATACAAAAAGTCAGGAAAAAAAACTGTAAACATTTACTCACGTGCAAATGTTTACAAAACTAAAACACTTAGCAGAAGTCAGTGCAAACGTCTTCAGTATGACAACAGGCTCAAGTTTAGAGACTATGGGTTGAGACAGAAAAGAAAAAAAGAAAAGAAAAAAAAACTGCTGCTGGAGAGGGATGCGAAACACTAATGAACGACTTTAATAAGCCATGGCCTGTTAGTAGTATTAGTGGATACAGAGATGCATTATGAGCGCGCAGTGCACTGCACTTACCAGACAACTCCAAACGCCCCGTAGCCGATGGGTCTGTCAGGCTCAATATCCAGCTGCTGCTGTAAATGGTGCGTGTGTTGCTGCTGCTGATGGTGGTGGTGGTGGTGGTGAGCTTTGACAGCGGCTGCTGCAGCCGCTTGGACCTGTGCGGGAGCCGCGGCCGCCGCCGGCCCGGGAGCTTGCCCGGGGGCTGGAGAGGGAAAGTAGGGCTGCTGCTGTCCGGGGTTTAGCATCACCGCCGCAGCGGCAGCCGTTGATGTGTGCTGCTGGACCGTGTGCACAGCAGCGGCTGAGCCTGGGTGCTGTAAGTGGTGCTGGCCCGCGTGGTGGTGGTGGTGATGCATGTGGGGAGGCGGTAGGTGCTGGAGCTGGTGGTGGTGGTGATGGGGGTGATGGGCAGCTACTGCTGAGGAGCCACCGTTGTAAGCAGCCATCATTTTTGTAACATTTGCAGCAGTTGTACCGCAAAGAGCCATCCAATGATACTTAAATGCCTCCTTTTCAAACTGCTTCTCAAAATGATACTAATGGCAACCAGACAGCAACCCCACGGTTAATACAACTTATGGCAAACATAGAGAAAATATATTTTGTCCTTTAAGCGTCCGAAGTCAATCACTTTGACAGAAATTTTCCGATATCTGGTATGGCGTTTTAGCATAATACTAACTAGGCTCTGCCCCACTTCCCCTAAATTAATTTTCTATTAGGTACACCATTAGACTACTGAAGTCTGAAACTAGTGACGGAGAGCATATTATGGGCAATGGACCACCCAAACATACAATCTATGCAGCTTTAACAGTGCCACTGCTGTCAGTGACAAACCGAAAATATTCAATAGAAAAAAAAACTTATATGCACTTCACAGAGACTGTTCAACCTCTCCTCCTGGGAAAAATTCACCTTCCCCTCTTAATAAAACAGTGCGATCTAAAGCAGGTCACATGGGAAGCAGAGCATTCATCTTATAAGTGTTCCAAGTTTGCCACACACTCGGGTCTGGCGCCGTTGCTTTTCTCACCACACGGCTTAAAATCGCATCTGTTATTCCAAACTGAATTCTCCTTAAGATGTGTGCACAGGCCAAACAGCTACTCTGATGGCAGAGGTAATCTCAGAGTCGTAATTAACGCTGCTGATCCGGTGCAGAGGAGGTGTAACCCAGCCAAGGCTACAATACAGCAGCGCAGAGAGGCAGGCAGGCCCGGGCCTCGGCAATCCACCCTATTCACATATTATTATAGAAATCCAGCGAGCCGCGTGCTTCCAAAGAAACCCCCATCAGTTTGACAGGGTGACGAAGCTTCGACCATGACTCAAAACACGAGAAGAGAAATCCTCACAGACGGCTGGCAGACAAAGTAATTCCCCCATCGACAGCTTTGTGTGTGTATCTGTATTCTACTCTGTCCTAATACGGCTCAGAAGCGCGCATCCAAACAGACTAACAAGTTAAATCCGTTTGTTGTGGGACAAAATCTACCGCCAGGAGCTAGACAGCCTTATTCAATCTGACAACTCAGAGCTAGCTAATGGGTATCTGTATCTCCACATAAAAACAGCAGTCCTTCCGTTGGTTCCGCTGGGCCTTGACGCTGTCAGTTGAGGAAAAAAAAACGTCACTCGGCTGATCCTCTACACCTCAAGCTCACGACGCTTATGTGACATGATAAAAGTATTGGTCACGAGGTAACTGAAATGAGCTGTTCATCCAACATGGTGAACAAAACCTTAGCCGCTCAGCGCTGAGATTAGGCAGGGTCGCCAACCAATCGTCTTCCGCACGGCAATGACGTAATTGTAACCTCCTTGATTGTCACAACGAGCAGCCAGTGGCGCGTGTTAGCTGGGGTGACAGCGGGGTTGATAGCTGACCGAAAAGCCCAATGATCTCCACATAGATGCAGAGAAAAACACCGCTCACTTCATTGCAGGAAAATATTCAGAATCCAGACCAGGGATTAAAATTAAATGATTGAATTGAAAATAATTTTAAAATAATAAAATATGATATGACTTCAGACTTACTACTTCTCTATACAAAGAACACTGCTCCGTAAAAGAAAAGAAAAAAAGTGGATTTCTAGTTGCTGATGCATTATATTCCTGAAAGCAGCTTCACAGGTTCTGTACCCTTGCCCAGATCTGTCTTGACCTGTGGTCAATTTTGAATGTCATGTCAAAGGACGTGAATACTGGATGTAAGATGTGCATACACATATGATGATACATATAGATATCATAATAATATCTAATATTTGCAAGAATAGTAAACTTTTTGTCTTCATTTTCTTGGGGGTGGGGGGGTATTATTTGTAGAATTTTTAGGTGAAAAATAAATTGAATACATTTTGGACTAAGGCTGTAACAAACCAAAAATTGAAGAACTCTATATTCTATGAGACACTATCCACAATGAACTTATTAAGAACCCAGCTGTGAATAAACATTCATTTACTTTGTAATGCAGCTCTTTTCTCACACCCAACAATCAAATGACCCCTTTGAACAACTGCTGACAGTGGGAAGGAAAAACTCATTTTTAACAGGAAGAAACCCCAAGAAGAACCAGACTTGGCGGCTAACTGCTGTGACTGATGAGGGGAGGAAGACAGGACAAAGACAACTCGAGCTTTTTACTGCACTGTACAGGCAAGTAATTCTTTTAACTGGTTATATGTGATTAGGAAGCAGCTAACTTTCAAAAATAAAAGCATGCAAACATAAACAGTCTTACACGCCGCACTCTCTGCAGCTTCTCTCCTCCTGCTACCCCCCCCCCCCCCAAAAAAACCCCCATCTCCATAGACTGTGTCAGCTCCCAAACAGACAAAAAACAAACTAAAAACCAGCAATAAACAAATTAAACATAAACAATTACAAAGAAAAAACAATACAGTATCCACATCTGAACCAAAGAGTAAAACAGTGAAATGTGGATTATTAAATATTAGGTCTCTCTCCTCCAAGTCTCTGTTAGTACATGACTTAATAATTGATCAACAAATCGATTTACTCTGCCTTACAGAAACCTGGTTGCAGCCGGGTGATTATGTTAGTTTAAATGAATCAACACCCCCGAGTCATTCTAACTACCAGAAATCTCGAAGCACAGGCCGAGGGGGCGGTGTGGCAGCAATTTTTCACACCAGCCTATTAATTAATGAAAGACCAAGACAGACTTTTAATTCATTTGAAAGTCTGATGCTTAGCCTTGTCCTCCCCAGTTGTAAAACTCAGAAACCAGTGTTGTTATCATCTATCGTCCACCTGGGCCTTACACAGAGTTTCTGTCTGATTTCTCAGACTTTTTATCTAATTTAGTTCTGAGCTCAGATAAAATAATTATTGTGGGTGATTTTAACATCCATGTAGATGCTAAAAATGACAGCCTCAACATGGCATTTAATCTGTTATTAGACTCAATTGGTTTCTCTCAAAATGTAAAAGAACCCACCCACCACTTTAATCACACTCTAGATCTTGTTTTAACATATGGAATAGAAACTCAAATCAAATCAAATCAAATCAAAATCAAATCACTTTTATTGTCACATCACATGTGCAGGCACACTGGCACAGCACATGCGAGTGAAATTCTTGTGTGCGAGCCCCACAAGCAACAGAGATGTGCAACACAACAACACAAACGAGCAAAATACAAGAATGGCCAACCTGAAACTAATAAATATATGTACAATATATAATAGTGTATGCATTTCTGGATGTGTATACTAAATATTTTCCTACGTGTGTGTGTGTGTGTGTGTGTGTGTGTGTGTGTGTGTGTGTGTATGTGTGTGTGTATACACATTTTTACAAATTAAATAGTAAAAAAAATAAAATAATAATAATAATAATAATAATAATAGTAATAATAAAATATATAAATATACAGAGTTGAATATGTGCAAAACAAGTGGCATTTATATACAGTGTGGAGTGCATAATGTTGAAGTTCCAGTAGTGAAGCTGAGGTGTCTATGACGTGTTCAGCAGTCTGATGGCCTGATGGAAAAAGCTGTCTCTCAGTCTGCTGGTACGGGACCGGATGCTGCAGAACCTCCTTCCTGATGGAAGCAGTCTGAACAGAGATGACCACGTAAGATCCTCAGCCAGATGTACTCCAAGGAACCGGAAGCTGCTCACTCTCTCCACAGCAGCGCCGTTGATGGTGATGGGGGTGTGTACTTCTCTGCACCTCCGGAAGTCCACTATCAACTCCTTTGTCTTTGCAACGTTGAGGGTGAGATGGTTGTCTTGACACCAGTGGGTCAGGGCGCTGACCTCCTCCCTGTAAGCCGTCTCATCACCGTTGGTGATAAGACCCACCACTGTAGTGTCGTCCGCAAACTTCACAATGATGTTGGAGCTGTTAGTGGCTGTGCAGTCGTAGGTGTAGCGTGAGTACAGGAGAGGGCTCAGTACACACCCCTGTGGAGCACCAGTGTTCAGTGTGATGGGGGATGAGGTGATGCTGCCCAGTCTGACCACCTGGCGTCTGTCAGACAGGAAGCTAAGGATCCAGCTGCAGAGGGAGCTGCTCAGTCCTAGATCCTGCAGTTTCCTGTCCAGCTTCGAGGGAACGATGGTATTGAATGCTGAGCTGTAATCTACAAACAGCATCCTCACATACGTGTCTCTCTTCTCCAGGTGTGACAGGGCAGTGTGTAGTGTCAGGGCTATGGCATCATCAGTGGACCTGTTGTGGCGGTATGCAAACTGTAGAGGGTCCAGTGAGTCGGGTAGTGCAGAGCAGATGAAGTCCCTGACCAGCTTCTCGAAGCATTTGCTTCGAGAACACTGAACATTTAACAGTGTTTCCTGAAAACCCTCTCCTGTCTGATCATTTCCTGATAACATTTACATTTACAATAATTGATTACACAGCGGTGGAGAGTAGACTTTATCACAGTAGATGTCTTTCTGAAAGCGCTGTAACTAAGTTTAAGAATATAATCCACCCACTGTTATCATCTTCAATGCCCTGTACCAACACAGAGCAGAGCAGCTATCTGAACTCTACTCCAACAGAGGTCGATTATCTTGTTAATAATTTCACCTCCTCACTACGTACGACTCTGGATACTGTAGCTCCAGTGAAAAATAGTATCTCAAATCAGAAGTACCTGACTCCGTGGTATAATTCTCAAACACGTACCCTAAAGCAGATGACTCGTAATCTGGAGAGGAAATGGCGTGTCACAAATTTTGAGGATCATCATTTAGTCTGGAGAAATAGTTTGCTGCTTTATAAAAAAAAAAGCCCTCCATAAAGCCAGAACATCTTACAATTCATCACTGATTGAAGAAAATAAAAACAACCCCAGGTTTCTCTTCAGCACTGTAGCCAGGCTGACAAAAAGTCAGAGCTCAGTACTCTGACTTTTTGTCAGCCTTTAACATAATGACTTCATGAACTTCTTCACAAATAAAATTTTTATCATTAGAGAAAAAATTACCAATAATCATCCTACAGATGTAATATTATCCACAGCTACTCTTAGTACCATTGATGTTAAGTTAGACTCTTTTTCTCTAATTGATCTTTCTGAGTTAACTTCAATAATTACTTCCTCCAAACCATCAACGTGTCTTTTAGACCCCATTCCTACAAAACTGCTCAAAGAAGTCCTGCCATTAATTAATGCTTCGATCTTAAATATGATCAACCTATCTCTAACAATTGGCTATGTACCACAGGCCTTCAAGGTGGCTGCAGTTAAACTCAAAAAGCCATCTCTAGACCCAGCAGTCTTAGCTAATTATAGGCCAATCTCCAACCTTCCTTTCATATCAAACATCCTTGAAAGAGTTGTCAAACAGCTAACAGATCATCTGCAGAGGAATGGCTTATTTGAAGAGTTTCAGTCAGGTTTCAGAGCTCATCACAGCACAGAAACAGCTTTAGTGAAGGTTACAAATGATCTTCTTATGGCCTCTGACAGTGGACTCATCTCTGTGCTTGTCCTGCTAGACCTCAGTGCAGCGTTCGATACTGTCGACCATAATATCCTATTAGAGCGATTAGAACATGCTGTAGGTATTACAGGTACTGTGCTGCAGTGGTTTGTATCATATTTATCTAATAGACTCCAGTTTGTGCATGTAAATGGAGAGTCCTCTTCACACACTGAGGTTAATTATGGAGTTCCACAGGGTTCAGTGCTAGGACCAATTCTGTTTACATTATACATGCTTCCCTTAGGCAGCATCATTAGAAGACATAGCACACATTTTCACTGCTATGCAGATGACACCCAGCTCTATCTGTCCATGAAGCCAGATAACACACACCAATTAGTTAAACTGCAGGAATGTCTTAAAGACATAAAGACCTGGATGGCCGCTAACTTTCTGCTTCTGAATTCAGATAAAACTGAGGTTATTGTACTCGGCCCTGAAAATCTTAGAAATATGGTATCCAACCAGATTCTTACTCTGGGTGGCATTACCTTGGCCTCCAGTAACGCTGTGAGGAACCTTGGAGTCATTTTTGACCAGGATATATCCTTCAATGCACATATTAAACAAATATGTAAGACTGCTTTCTTCCATTTGCGCAACATCTCTAAAATTAGAAATATCCTGCCTCAGAGTGATGCTGAAAAACTAGTTCATGCATATATTACTTCCAGGCTGGACTACTGTAATTCCTTATTATCAGGATGTCCAAAAAACTCACTGAAAAGCCTTCAGTTAATCCAAAATGCTGCAGCAAGAGTACTGACAG